TGAATCACACAGCCCAGCAGTTGGCTTGCTCTCTTTGTACCTGTCACAGATAGCAGAGTTCAGGATGTGATCTGTACTAGTAAACAGTCACCAGGTTGGAAGACCTAGAAAGGAGCCTGGGAGAGGAGAAGGAAGGAAAGTAGGTAGCTGATGGGAAGTAAGGGGAGTAGAGGCCCCAGAAGTGGATGGGGCTGGTGCTCAGGGGTCTCCACACCCAGAAACTCAGGGTGTATTGATCCAGGTGGCAGTGCTTCCAGCTGCTGAGTGGGGACACACTGGAGGGAGCAGGACCAGTGAGAAGGGTTTCATGAGCCACAGAGCAAGGCTTCATCCCTTCCCTCCCGAAGCCCTGTGACTTACTGCCTTAACTGTGCCTGAAGCCTTCCCACAGTCCATCAGGCCCTCCCTGGTACTTGCTCCCTGCTGACTGCTCCAGCCACCCTTCTGTCCTTCCCCTCCTCCCTCCGTCCCTCTCTCTGTCTCCACCACACCAACCTCGTTCTGCTGCCAGCCTCTTGCATTCTTCTTTTGCCTGGAGTACACATGCCCCAGATCTAGGCACAATTGCCTCATCTCAGCCCAGTTCCAGTGACCTGGCTTCAGGGCTATCTGGTCCATTCCTCTTGTTTCATATCATTCCAAAATCCTCTCTTGGGTTCCCTGTGGGCCTGGTATGCATGACTTTCATTCTTTACCATGGTTTCAGGCTGTTGTCCCCTTTGACCTGGGGCTCAAAGAAGTTAAATTACATAGCCAAGGTCATTTGCTTGGGCCCATGGCCAGGCTAGGAGTCCTTGACCAGACTCCCACCCCTCAGAGTCATTCCCCACAGCAGGGTCCCTCCCTGTAAGGTACCACCTACAACCTGTGGTGAGTACCTGATAAAAGCTGGAGCCCACAGCTGCTGTGGGGCCATAGGCTGCCCCGTCCCTGTCCTTCTGAGGGTGTTTTGATCTTATTCTTCACTCTCTTGGGGACACAAGTCTCCAGCACTTTTCTCCTGGCCTCTCCAAGGACTCCCTGCCTGGTACCCCCTAGAGAGACTGAGTCTTAATGGTTCCTCCTTAGCTGTCCCCAAGGTCCAGACTTCCGCCTGCCTGCTTCCCATCACAGACCCTCCCCCCAACCTTTGGGGAGCCCATTTTCCCTGCTTTTGAGAAATGGGGGCGGGAGGGTACGGTCTTGTTTCTAGCTGCTCCCACAATGGTGTCTTTTCCGGCCCCAGGAAGCATATGCCTGTTAGGAGGTGTTGCTCAAGAGAGGCCTCTGGTGCAGTTCCTTCTTGTGCCTGAGCCTCCAGGGACCAAAAGCGACTTGAAAGGAACTCTTACTCTCCCTTTGAGGCGTGCCCTGCTCCTGGCATGCAAATCTCCCCTGGAGGAGACATGACTGTGTGTGTGTGTGTGTGTGTGTGTGTGTGTGTGTGTGTATGTGTGTGTGTTGGGGATGGTAAGCACCTGATCTACCAAAGAGCTACATTTCCAGCTAAGAGGATATTTTTTCCTTTCGCTTTTCCCTGCCTCCACCTCCCAGTGCTGGGACTAAAGGCCACCACGCCCAGTGTTAATCACTCTCTGGGAACCTCTAGTCTGCTTTCTGCCATTTTTTTTCCTATCTCTGATGAAAACAGCGGGTAGAAGTCACGTAACACTTGACCTTTTGTGTCTGGGTTGATTCTTATTTTTTGGTGTCGTGATCAAATCCAAGACGTCATGCATGCTAAGCAGGTCTCTGCTGCACTTCCCCAGCCATCATTCCTGGCTTTATTGCTTGTTTCTCATCCCCATTGTATCACATTTCAGGACTTCATTCCTCTTTCTGGCTGAATCTACTGTGTGAAGGGCTGTGATTTGTTTCCATCCCTCCATCTATTCACATTTGGACCAGAGTCTCGGTTCAGTCCTGAACCACTGATTTCCAAACATACTCATTTCCCTCTTCTCAGGAAGCAATTTGTATTGATCTTCTAAGTGTAGATTTATTTGTCTTCTATATATTACTCTGCAGTCTATATCCTGTATCTTGCAAAAACCATGTAAAGGGCAGGCATGCATTGCTTAACAATGGCGATTCCTGCTAAGAAACATCACCATGCACAAACTAAGACTTCTAAGACGTCGCTAGGCAACAGGTGAATGGGACTACCATTGCATGATGGTGTAGACATGCAAGAAGATGATTTAGGAAAACAGAATGAACAGTGCTTCTCATATTTTTCCCCCCACATCACCCTCAACTCACTGCCCCTCCTGGGTGTCAGCTGTGGCAGAAAACATATCTGGCTGGTACTGAAATGATAGTTTCTTATTGTAGAAAAATAGAAAGCAAGGACTAGGGAGATGACTCCGTTGGTAACGTGCTTACTGCTTAGGCATGAGGACCAAAGTTTGATCCTTAATATCTATGTAAAAGCTGGGGAGGCAGAGGCAGACAAATCTCCTGTACAGGCAGGAGTTCAGCTGAATTGGTGAGCCCCAGTTCAGTGAGACATCCTGTCTCAAAAATAAAAAAAGATGGAGAGCGTCATGTCAGCCTCTGGCCTTCACACATATGCCTGGACAAGAGCAATCCCTTCTGCCTTCCACCTCCAGCTCATCTCAGGCCACACTTGGGTCTGCCCTTCTTCCCTGTATCTCTCAGATCTGAGCTTCCCCATCCTCCTATGGTTCCCCCCTCCCTCCTATGCCCAAGGTGGAGGCATGAACTTGAGATCAGGTCCCCTGGGTTTGAAGCCCAGTTCTGTCAAAGTTGTGCAACATTGGGCACATTCACATGCACCAACACCCCCCCTTTTAAAGGATTTTATCATATATATATATCATATATGATATATATATATTTACATGTATGTAAGTGTACCACATGTGTGCAATGCCAGGAGATGCCAGAGGGCATCAGATTCCCTGGAACTGCAGTTATGGATGGTTGTTAGCTACCATGTGGATGCTGGGAACTCAACTCAGATCCACTGGAAGAGCATCCAGTTGCTCCTAATCACTGAGTCATCTCTCCAGCCCCAATATCAGCACCTTTAATAGCATCATCTGCAAAATGCTGGTGATGCTAATGTATTAATTACCCCAAAACCTATGGCCTAAAACAGGAGTCACATGTTAGCTCAGTTTCTGTGGGTCAGGAATCTGCTTAGGTGAATGCTGTAGGCGCCACATCTCTCATAGGCTCCAGCCATGGTGTGAGCTAGGGCTGGGGTCTCATCTGATGACTCTACTGCTGATGGATCAGTGTCAAGCTCATGTGCATGGTGCTGGTGGGATTCAGCCTACTTCCAGTTCGTGGGCTGCTGACAAAGGGCCTCAGCTCCCAGCAGGCTGTGGGTCAGAGACTTCCCTTTGCCTCCTGCCAAATGGCCTCTCTTTGGCAACTTAGAACACAGCAACTGACTTCTAGCAGAGCAGGCAGGCACAGGGGGCCAGAGAGTGAGCAAGGTAGGAGCCAGAACTGATACTCCATCACTTTAAAAAAATTATTTATTCTTTTCAATTTTCATATATATAATGTACTTTGATCATATTTTCCCCAATTATCCTTTCATAGAGATAATGACTTTTCTTACCTAACCACTTCTTTCTAACAAGTTCCTTTTTTTTTTTTTTTTTGGTCTTTTTGAGACAGGGTCTCTCTGTCTCTGTAGTCTCTATAGTTCTAGTTGGCCTGGAACTCACTATGTAGACCAGGCTGGCCTCAAATTCCTCCTGCCTCTGCCTCCCAAGTGCTGGGATCAAAGGTGTGTGCTACCATGCCCAGCTACAAGTTCTTTTTTTTTTTTTTTGGTCTTTTTGAAGCAGGGTCTCTCTGTAGCCCCAGCTGTCCTGGAACTTACTATGTAGACTAGGCTGGCCTTGAACTCAGAGAGATCTGCCTGCCTCTGCCTCTCAAGTGCTGGGACTACAGGCGTGCGCCACCACGCCCCTCTCGTTGGTCTTTTTTGAGACAGGGTCTCCTTGTAGCCTCAGCTTGCCTGACTTGCTATGTAGACTAGACTGGCCTTGATGTTATAGAGATCTGCCTGACTGCCTCCCAAGTGCTGACACTAAAGGCATGTGTCACCACGCTCAGCTTTGTCTTTTTGAGACAGGGTCTCATAGTACAACCCTAGCTAGCCTAGAACTTGCTATGTAGAACAGACTGGCCTCAAACTCACAGAGATCCTCCTGCCTCTGCCTCCTGAGTGCTGGGATGAAAGGCGTGTGCCTCCACACCAGGCTCTCACTGCATTTCAATTAAAGTTGCTTCCATGAACATGGGTGGGGGATTAATTAAGCAAGTGCAATTTACCAGTAGGAATTTACTAGAAGGAATGTGCTCACCCCTCATCAACTACCTCTCATGAGGGTGTGTGTGTGTGTGTGTGTGTGTCCCGGGTTACTTTTACCACATTTTGTCTATTAGAAGCATATCACTGGATCCAGCCACCCTTGGGTATAGCCAGCAGGAGGCAGGGTAACCTGTGCCAGCGAAAGTGAACCTATCTCAGGGTTTGCTGAGGTTCTGTGTAACGTGGCTCATGAGATGAGGGAGGCAGGACTATGGCTGCTGTGGGCTTTTAATTTGTCACCACACTTAGCTGGGGTGGGACTATGCCTTGGCCTGAGACCTCAGACCATATCAGCCTTAGGCTGTGCAGAGGAAAGCACAAGATGGGGCTAAGGTAGGTGCTCTGGAAGAGCTGACCTGGAGGATGGGGGCTGTGACTGAGCAGGATCCGGGGTTCGCCCCACTCTGGGGTCCAGTCTAGTCCTAGGGAACCTTAGTGTCGGGTGGTGTCGTATCTGTGGTCAGAGATCCTTTAGACTTTGAAGCTGCAAGAGGAAACAATTGACCCTACCTGTGCTCTCTGACCCCTAGCAAGTTGCCCTCCCTCTCTGGGCCTTCCTCTGTTTAATACCCACCTTATGGTTCATAGCCAGGCAGGCAGCAGATAGGGGCCTGTCAGTGGGTAGGGGAGTCTGCGGGGGCTCACGCCTGCCCTTTCCTTGCAGGTGTTCTCCATTGTGGTCTTCGGCTCCATCGTGAATGAGGGCTACCTCAATAACTCGGAGGAGGAGGAGGAATTCTGCATCTACAACCGCAACTCCAACGCCTGCAGCTACGGCGTGACGGTGGGCGTGCTGGCCTTCCTCACCTGCCTGCTCTACCTGGCGCTGGACGTGTACTTCCCACAGATCAGCAGTGTTAAGGACCGCAAGAAGGCTGTGCTGTCTGACATTGGTGTCTCAGGTGAGCCCTGCTTGGGTGGTACCCCTTAACAGTGTGGAAAGCACTCTCTGCCACCCTGCCCAGAAGTAAAGGAACAGACAGAGCCATGGCTAACCAGGGGCTCTAGTCATCTCTGGTCTTAGTGCCCTTCTCCACCCCTCCCTGGGGAGCTTGATCTCCCCCTTTCACCTGGTGCTGGGCAGGGGGTTGCAACTTGCCACCCTCTGCCCCTTCCTAATCCTGAGAGTCCCTGAAGTTAGCCTGATAGGTACTTTGGGTGTGATTACGACTATGGACCCCTGCTTCCAGGGCTGGAGTCCCTTTGACCTTCTACAAAGAACTAGGTGAACCACTAAACTAGTGGTTCTCCAGTTTCCACAGAGCCCCCTGACTCTCAGAAACTCCTCTCAGGGGCAGGCTAGACTCTGGCTACCCCATGCCCTTAGTACGTACTCTGTCCTGGACAACTCTGGCTAGACCCTGAGTACCCACAAAAGATCCTTCTCCGGAGCTGGAGAGATGGCTCAGTGGTTAAGACCACTGACTGTTCTTGCAGAGGACCCAGGTTCAATTCCCAGTACCCACATGGCGGCTACCAACCGTCCTTAACTCAAGTTCCAGGGGAATCTGAAGCCCTCTTCTGACCTCTGCAGCATTGCATGACACGGGTGCACTCATATACATGCAGGCAATACACTCATACACATAAAATGAAAATAATTAATAAAATATTTTTTAAAAAAAGATCCCTCTCCTCTGCTCAGACTGCAGATCTCAGCTTTCAGAAGGGTTTCCTTATGGGGCTTCCAGAGGCTGCATGCCTGTGGGACATGGGGGTCTACCCCCAGGCTGTGCAGCCACCCTTCTCCCCGTCCCAGTTGTCTCCTCCCCGAAGTTGTCTGGAAGTTTGAGCAGGGCAGCATCCAACTCCCTGCATACCTATTGGTCTCCCCAACCAAGCCAGAGAGTGGCAGGGGCTAGAGATGCCAGGCTAACCTAACTCTCTCTCTCTCCCTCCCTCCCTCCCTCTCCCTCCCTTCCTCTCTCTCTCCCTTCCTTCTTCCCTCCCCCCTTCCCTCCCTCCCCTCTCCCTCTATCCTGTTCCATCCTCCTCCCACTTCCATGGCTTGCCCTGTGCTCCTGACCCTGCACGTTTGCTTGCCCTTGCCCTGGCCGTGGTTTCCCCCTGTGTCGTTCCTGTCTGTGCTTTCTCTTGGCTCCTTCTTTCTGCTGCACCCCTCGCCCTCTCCTTTGGGGTGGGGGAGCATGGTAATGTGCTCTTGAACTGCTCCCCTGCTCCTCGGGCTCTTCCTCCCCTTTCCCTCTGTGTGTCACTGACATCTGGCCTGACCCTGGGCACCCCAGCCTTCTGGGCCTTCCTCTGGTTCGTGGGCTTCTGCTTCCTGGCCAATCAGTGGCAGGTCTCGAAGTCCAAGGACAACCCCCTGAATGAAGGGACGGATGCAGCTCGGGCAGCCATCGCCTTCTCCTTCTTCTCCATCTTTACGTGGGTGAGTACAGTGTTCATAGAGTCCTCCACTTGCCCCCCAAACCCCAGGCTGTGGCCTGTTGGGTAGCCAGGCCTGGTTAAGCTTCCTGGAGGGCAGCCTTGCTCCAACACTGCCTGGAGCCATGGCCAGCAGGGCACTCTCAGTCAGGAAAGACCTTTGCTTTTGATATGGAGAAGCCTCCCTGAGGTTGTGGCCAGGGCTTCACCACATAGCCCAGTCTAGAGATCCTCCTGCCTCAGTCTGTCGGATCACAGATGTGTGCCACCATGCCTGGCACTGTTATCACTTTTTACAGCTAGGGAGGTGAGTCCTTGACATTTCTAGGTTTCAGGGCTTAAAAGGAGGCAGGTGTAGGAGTCAGGAGATCCCATGTTGCCTTCTGTGGCTCTGACTTTTTTGCTTTCTGCCTTCCCACCTGGAAAAGGAGAGGGGAGAGGGGCCTTGCTCAGAATCCCCCAGGAACTGAGAGAGGTGAGGGGGCTGCCTGATATGTGTGCACCCACCTCTGCCTGGTGCTGGTTGCTAAGCACTGATGGGGACCTGCAGAGGCTGTCACTTTCCATTTTTCCAGAAAAGTCAGAAATTTGAATTTTTTTTACATGAAATCTGATTTTCAAGTCTTTTAAAAATTACTTGTATTAAGCCAGGCGTGGTGGCGCACGCCTTTAATCCCAGCACTCGGGAGGCAGAGGCAGGCGGATCTCTGTGAGTTCAAGGCCAGCCTGGTCCACATAGTGAGTTCCAGGTCAGCTAGGACTACAGGGAGACCCTGTCTCAAAAAGACCAAAAAAAAAAGGTATTTATTTAATTAGGTTTTAATTTTTATTTATTTTTATTCTGTGTGTGTGAGTGTTCTTGTATGCGTGTATGTAAGCACACTACATGTATGCAATGCCCATGGAGGCCAGAAGAGGGTGTTGGATCCCTGGAACTGGAGTTACAGCCAGTTGTTAGCCACTGTATGGGTGCTGGGAACCAAACTCTGGTCCTCTGTAAGAGTACCCAATGCTCTTAGCACCTGAACTGTTCCTCTAGCCCCCCTATTTATTTAATTGTGTATATGGAGGTACATGTGTGCCATAGTGGGCATATGGAGGTCAGAGGACAACTTGCAGAAGTTAGTTCTCTCCTTTCCACCTCATGGGTTCTGGGAATTGAACTCAGGTGTCCAGGCTTGGCAGCAAGCACTTTTATTCACTGAGCCATCTTTCCCAGATCTGATCATTATGTGTGATAATTGATCCAAATTTAAAAAATACATTGCAGCTGGCCGTGGTGGCACACGCCTTTAATCCCAGCACTCAGGAGGCAGAGTCAGGCGGATCTCTGTGAGTTCAAAGCCAGCCTGGTCTACACAGTGAGTTCCAGGACAGCTGGGGCTACAGGGAGACTCTGTCTCAAAAAGACCAAAAACAAAAACAAAAACAAAAAACATTGCGTCGGGGGCTGGAGAGATGGCTCAGTGGTTAAGAACACTGGTTGTTCTTGCAGAAGACCCGGGTTTGAATCCCAGAACCCACATGGCAGCTAACAACTGTCCGTAACTCCAGTTCCAGGGGATCTGATGGCCTCTTCTGTCCTCTAAGGGCATTGCACGACATGGGTGCCCTTACCTACATGCAGGCAATACACTCATATACATAAAATAAAAATAATAAGTAAAATACTAAAAAAAAAAAACCAAACCCAAAAAACATCATGGCCAGGTGTGGTGGCACACACCTTTAATCCCAGCACTTGGGAGGCAGAGGTAGGCAGATCTCTGTGAGTTTAAGGCCAGCCTGGTTTACATAGTGAATTTCCAGGTCAGGGGGGGCTACAAGGAGCAAGGCTGGCCCTTTCCATGGGTCTAGGTCATGTTCATTCCTCCTTCCTTTCTTTCTTTCTTTCTTTCTTTCTTTTCTTTCTTTTCTTTCTTTCTTTCTTTTTAAATTTTATTTATTATTTTTATTTTATGTGTATTTGTGTATTGTCTGCATGTAGGTAAGTGCACCTGTGTCATGCAATGCC